CTATAGTTTTTACCATGGTTTTATAAACATATTTATGATGTTATTGACAAATCTCATTGATGTAACAACTTATAATAGGATACTGAACATACAGTAAGTCGTTTTGAATACAAATATTAAGGTTTTGTGTGTATCTGTTTATTGCCAGTTTCAAACTATGATACTGTAAAAAATTAATTAGTTTACATGTAATTTGTTCTATGTAGCTTAATTCTAAAAATTCTCCATGTTGATTTAAAATGTCCTTTACAAATCTTAATCTATGATCATATAAGGTTTTAACGAAAAAAAATATTACTTCCTGTTAACAATTTATGGTTATAAAATAGTGGCATATGTAGCACTTGTTCAATATCATCTATATTAAGCTTATCAATAAGTACAATATAGGCTTTCAAAACATCAATCCAGAATCTATTCTTTATCTTATTAATAATCAAATCACAGAACAATTTTCCAGTATCAAAAATTTTATCAATATTAAACAGTGATTTTACAAGGTTAAAGCATTTTCCATCACTATTACTAACATACCTTTTAAGCCATTTTATCTTTAAACAGTGTATATAACTATAAATATCAACCATGTTAAGACCACCTTCTTTGTATGTCTTTGTCATAACTGATTGCTTTATTTTTGCCTTGCCTCCCCATATAAAGTCATAAAATATATCATTGAGGGTCTTTAAAAATACTGCACTAGGAGTTGGCAAACTTGTAAAACAATGTGTAAATAATGGAAGTAAAATAGACTTAACAACAGTGACTTTACCTATTGGTGTCAACATTCTTTTTTCCAATGACTTATACTATTTTTTACCTTTTGTAGTTTTTCATAAAAATTCAAATCAATCATTTTGTCTAAATCTACATCAAATATCAAACCTAGCAATTTAAACTGTGTATCACCCCATGTAAGTTTCCATTTTGTCTTGATTGATCTAGTACTGTACTTAAGGGAACCTATCCAAATGACTTTGGTTTTATCAAAATTTACTTTTAGTCCAGAAATCTTTGAAAATATATTCAACAATTTTAGAGCATTATTTAATGATTTTTCAGTACCATCTAACAATAGTGATGTATCATCTGCAAATTGTGTAATTTAATATTCTTCACCATCTATATGTATACCTTTAATATCGTTACATTGTTTTATTTTAATAGCTAATATTTCTGCACATAACATGAAAATATACGGTGAAATTGGATCACCTTGCCTACAGCCTCGTTTAACTTTGAAGAACGTAGATAAAAAACCATTTAGAATAACACAAGTTTCAGTATTATATAAAAATAATAAAAAAATATTTTAGATTTGTTGGAAATTTAAGGATACATGGATCGTAAATAATCATAAACAAGCTTTCTAAACTGCTCTGTATGCTTCACACCCTATTATTACCCAGAATGCTTTATCACACACATGTACAAACAATTAACTGTAAAACTCTGACGCCTAAAACACACATGGCAGCCATCGTTCTGACAAAGTTTGACAACATAATTTGACACCTGAGCCCAGAAGAATTCTTTAACAAAACAGTAAACAGACAAAATTGTAACTTTCCAGATATAAGATATAATCCCCTAGACACTAGAAAAATTGTTGGTCAATCAAATGGACATTTATCCAAATTACTAGTGTTAACACAGAATTTAACAAAATCCTAGTGAGAACTTATCTTTATCCCTGATTATATCTTAATGTTAAAATGACAGCAAAACAAATATATTCTAAAATCTAGTAAAGTCTGTTGATTGATACAATATGGTGCTCCTCCATTTTTTTGACCTAATCATTTTATTTTGACATTATAAATCCTGCATATGTGAAACACCTGTTTGTGATAAATGCATGTTTTTTTTAATGTTTTTGTAGCAGTAATGATAAAACTTATAGAGAAATCAGAGACAAGTTTTGAACTTTATTTATCATTTATCTTGTTATGGTCACCTTTGGTGATGCTCCAGAAAGAGTGATAAGTTTTGACATATTTGTTATGGAGGTAATGGCCTACCACCATCTTTATATAATGTCAACTGAACATATCAATTCAGTGACTGAATCCATTTCTTTATATCTAAAATGTTAGTAAATTTTCTGTTATAATTTACAAATGAACCAAAGAGACACATGACAACATACTAGATTTTATCAATTTTCAAACCCATAATTTATGTGAGATCAAAACATTCTAGATTTCCAATCCAAAACAGGTTTAAGACAGTGAATTCATTTAAAACATATTAGTTTACATTCAAGTTCAGGGTGTCTTGTTCATCAGTAACAATAAGAAATGCTTTGTTATTTTAGAAGTGAAATATAGTTGTTGTTTTGCAGTGAACGCAAATAATGCAAATAAGCTTAATTCAAATTAAATTGATTAACTTTCAATAATTTATTAATCTGTATATTTTTTTCCATTTTACCATAATTGCAGTTATATTCATAATTTGCTGCATGTATAATAGAATTCAAAATAAGGGATAGAAGATTGTATAGAACACAAAATAAACAAGTGTCCACTACATATGCCTAATCAATCCAATACCAAAGTCATCAACTGCAGATGGTAGGGATCCTTTATCATATAGGGGTATATCCTTGACATGTTATATGTATAAGTTATATTGTAACATTTTAAATGATAGATTGAGTTCATGGTCTGAAGCCAATAACATTATTGTTGATGAACAGAACGGCTTCCGTAGGAAAAGAAGCACAACTGATCACATTTCATCTCTTGTTAACCTAATTGATACTAGGAAGAAAATGAAAAAAAGTACTTTTACAGCATTTATCGATTTTCGTAAAGCTTATGACCTAATCAATCGTTCTAAGTTGTGGAGTCGATTACAAGTTACTGGTGTTTGTGGCAAAATGTTACGAGCCATTAAGTCTTTATATTCATCTTTAGCATCATGTGTTAGAATTAACTCGTTCACTACTGACTGGTTTGACGTCCACTGTGGCTTACGTCAAGGCTGTGTTTTATCACCTTACTTTTTAATCTTTATATCAATGATCTTGCGTTGTATTTAAAGTCTCTTAATATTGGTGTAACAATTGATGATGAAATTGTATGTATACTTTTGTATGCTGATGATATTGTGCTACTTGCAGAAACCGAGCGTGACTTACAATGTTTATTAAATGGTCTACACGATTGGTGTAGTATAAACGACATGTCAATAAATACAAGCAAGAGTAACATTGTTCATTTCCGCCCAGAATCCTGTACTAGATCAGATTTTGTCTTTAAATGTGGTCATGATACGTTAAGTTATGCTGATAAATACAAATATTTGGGAATCGTTTTGCATGAGCATGTCGATTTCAATGTTACAGCTAGGATGGTGGCACAAAGCGCTAGCCGTGCGTTAGGCTTACTGATAGCCAAGTGTAAGTTAGTTGGAGGGGTTCCTCATAGCGTTTTTACTAAATTGTATGACTCTGTTGTATGGCCTGTTATTGCGTATGGGGCTTCCTTATGGGGTCATAAGTCATATTCTTGCATAAATGCTGTCCATAATCGAGCTATGAGATTCTTCCTTGGGGTGGGAAAATATACGCCCAATGCAGCAGTTTCAGGAGATATGGGTTGGGTCCCCCCTTTGGTCCGGCAATGGAAATCAGTGGCCATTTTTTGGGTGCGCCTTTCCCAAACAAATACTTGTAGACTAAATAAACGGATTGAACTTTGGTCGTTGACAAAAGGTGCTCCTCAATGTAAAAATTGGTTTTATCATGTCCAAAAGCAATGGAATGAATTAAATCTTGGTATGTTTTGCGACTTGTCTTCACCCATTGCTAAAACTTCCTTTGTGCGCCAGGTTGAATCTTTGACTATGGAGGGATTTAAGGCTGAATGGATCCGTTCGGTTAATTGTACAGTGGGCCCGTCAGGTAGGGGTCTGAATAAGCTGAGAACCTATAGAACTTTTAAGCAGGAACATACGTCAGAAGAGTACTGTAAAATGATCTTACCCCCTAGGCATAGGTCAACGTTTTGTAAATTTAGGTGTGGGGTAGCCCCTATTCGTATCGAAACGGGTAGGTACGAGAATCTGAGATTAGATGAACGCCACTGTCCTTTTTGTAATGTACTTGAAGATGAACAGCATGTTATATTAGACTGCCCAGTATATGATGATTTTAGATCAGAATTAATCTCTAAGGCTGTGTTGCACGAACCTTCTTTTATTAATTTAAGCAAAGACAACCAACTTGCATTTTTGTTCTCTAGTCAACCATTAGTCAGAAAATGTGCCAAAACCTGTTTTAATATTCTTCAACGTCGTCAATCTTACTTATGTAAATAATATATTTTATATAGAACATGCTACTGTATTTTTTTTATATATATATTTTTTTATGTTTTGATGTATGTTTTTTTATTTATTTTTATTTTTTTTTCTTACTTTGAAATAATAAAAAATAGCGACTGTTTTTTTTTTTAATCATATAAATATATAAATGTATATTTCTTTCCATTAATTTATAGTTTTTGTACTGTGTAGTTAGTTATTATTTATAATTGGATATAATTTTATGATTAGTATGATATTTTATCGTGTTATTATAAATGTTTTACTAGTCTCTTATAATTCAATGATTGAATGGTCATGTACTTTTTTGTGTTTTATGTTTGCTTATGAATTTTATTTGTGTATGTACATGAATGAGACTTAAATAAATAAATAAAATAAAATAAAATAAAAATACTTCTTGCTGCAACTTGATTCTGGTGCAATTATTTTTGTTTATCATAAAACAACTAATTTTTCAATAATTATATACTGAACAATAAAATCCCAAACATTAAGTGTCAGCCAAAAAATTAACGTTAGGATGTTGGTCATTTTTTACAAAAATATTGTCAGGTTTCCTACATGGAAATGATTCTGGTCTCATGTGAAAACAAAAATTAAATTTAATTACTTAAATCATTTTTGATAGACATACATTGTTGTTATTTTGACATAAAGATACCAACCTCCTCTCCTCGTTTGTTACGGAATCTCATCCATTCACCACCATCTTCTCTCTGATACTCTAACAAAAACTCTTCTGTAAATTCCTGACCCTGTAAATATAAAACAACAAATAGTAAATCATAAAATTCTACCAGGAAGAGTATTTTAATTTTTCCAGATATGCAAAATTCTTAAGAAGTGGATGTTTTAAGTCATGGGATACAATTTTAGCTTTATAAGTAGAAGATGAATGGTTGTACATCAATTACATTGCCCATACAAATCTCTGTCAAGACAATCATATACATTGCCCATACAAATGGTTGTACATATCTCTGTCAAGACAATCAATAAACATTGCCATACATACATATACGTGCCATAATGGTTGTACATATCTCTGTCAAGACAATCAATATACAGTGACCATACAAATGGTTGTACATATCTCTCTCAAGACAATCAATAAACATTGCCCATACAAATGGTTGTACATATCTCTGTCAAGACAATCAATTTACATTGCCCATACAAATGGTTGTACATATCTCTGTCAAGACAATCAATATACATTGCCCATACAAATGGTTGTACATATCTCTGTCAAGACAATCAATAAACATTGCCCATACAAATGGTTGTACATATCTCTGTCAAGACAATCAATATACAGTGACCATACAAATGGTTGTACATATCTCTGTCAAGACAATCAATATACAGTGACCATACAAATGGTTGTACATATCTCTCTCAAGACAATCAATAAACATTGCCCATACAAATGGTTGTACATATCTCTCTCAAGACAATCAATACACATTGCCCATACAAATGGTTGTACATATCTCTGTCAAGACAATCAATATACAGTGACCATACAAATGGTTGTACATATCTCTTCAAGACAATCAATATAAACATTGCCCATACAAATGGTTGTACATATCTCTCTCAAGACAATCAATAAACATTGCCCATACAAATGGTTGTACATATCTCTGTCAAGACAATCAATATACATTGCCCATACAAATGGTTGTACATATCTCTGTCAAGACAATCAATAAACATTGCCCATACAAATGGTTGTACATATCTCTGTCAAGACAATCAATAATACATTGCCCATACAAATGGTTGTACATATCTCTGTCAAGACAATCAATATACGTTGCCCATACAAATGTTTGTACATATCTCTGTCAAGACAATCAATATACATTGCCCATACAAATGGTTGTACATATCTCTGTCAAGACAATCAATAAACATTGCCCATACAAATGGTTGTACATATCTCTGTCAAGACAATCAATATACAGTGACCATACAAATGGTTGTACATATCTCTGTCAAGACAATCAATAACAGTGCCCATACAAATGGTTGTACATATCTCTCTCAAGACAATCAATAAACATTGCCCATACAAATGGTTGTACATATCTCTCTCAAGACAATCAATACACATTGCCCATACAAATGGTTGTACATATCTCTGTCAAGACAATCAATATACAGTGACCATACAAATGGTTGTACATATCTCTCTCAAGACAATCAATAAACATTGCCCATACAAATGGTTGTACATATCTCTCTCAAGACAATCAATAAACATTGCCCATACAAATGGTTGTACATATCTCTGTCAAGACAATCAATAAACATTGCCCTACAAATGGTTGTACATATCTCTGTCAAGACAATCAATAAACATTGCCCATACAAATGGTTGTACATATCTCTGTCAAGACAATCAATATACATTGCCCATACAAATGGTTGTACATATCTCTGTCAAGACAATCAATATACATTGCCCATACAAATGGTTGTACATATCTCTGTCAAGACAATCAATATACATTGCCCATACAAATGGTTGTACATATCTCTGTCAAGACAATCAATAAAAATTGCCCATACAAATGGTTGTACATATCTCTGTCAAGACAATCAATAAACATTGCCCATACAAATGGTTGTACATATCTCTGTCAAGACAATCAATAAACATTGCCCATACAAATGGTTGTACATATCTCTGTCAAGACAATCAATAAACATTGCCCATACAAATGGTTGTACATATCTGTCAAGACAATCAATAAACATTGCCTATACAGATGATTGTACATATCTCTGTCAAGACAATCAATAAACATTGCCAATAAAAATGGTTGTACATATCTCTGTCAAGACAATCAATATACATTGCCCATACAAATGGTTGTACATATCTCTGTCTAGAAAATCAATAAACATTGCCCATACAAATGGTTGTACATATCTGTCAAGACAATCAATAAACATTGCCCATACAGATGGTTGTACATATCTCTGTCAAGACAATCAATATACATTGCCCATACAAATGGTTGTACATATCTCTGTCAAGACAATCAATAAAAATTGCCCATACAAATGGTTGTACATATCTCTGTCAAGACAATCAATATACATTGCCCATACAAATGGTTGTACATATGTCTGTCAAGACAATCAATTTACATTGCCCATACAAATGGTTGTACATATCTCTGTCAAGACAATCAATATACAGTGACCATACAAATGGTTGTACATATCTCTGTCAAGACAATCAATAAACATTGCCCATACAGATGGTTGTACATATCTCTGTCAAGACAATCAATATACATTGCCCATACAAATGGTTGTACATATCTCTGTCAAGACAATCAATAAACATTGCCCATACAAATGGTTGTACATATCTCTGTCAAGACAATCAATAAACATTGCCCATACAAATGGTTGTACATATCTGTCAAGACAATCAATAAACATTGCCCATACAGATGATTGTACATATCTCTGTCAAGACAGTCAATAAACATTGCCAATAAAAATGGTTGTACATATCTCTGTCAAGACAATCAATATACATTGCCCATACAAATGGTTGTACATATCTCTGTCAAGACAATCAATAAACATTGCCCATACAAATGGTTGTACATATCTCTGTCAAGACAATCAATAAACATTGCCCATACAAATGGTTGTACATATCTCTGTAATGACAATCAATATACAGTGACACTATACATTGCCTATACAACTACAGAAGTATTGACTTTTTTAAAGCTACAAAAATAATCTCACATGAATGATTCTACATTTATAGTCATGTGACTCATAAACATAAGGAATAAAAGCCTTTTAACCACTGAGTCAAATAAAAGCCCACTAAAACTCTAAGCCATTCAAAGTCTGATACTACGCAGAGTGGTATCACCATGCACACAAACAATTAAATCATGCATTTATACCATTCAGCCATTTAAATCATGTAATGATACCATTCAGCCATTTAAATCATGTACTGATACCACTCAGCCATTTAAATCATGTACTGATACCACTCAGCCATTTAAATCATAAACTGATACCACTCAGCCATTTAAATCATGTAATGATACCACTCAGCCATTTAAATCATGTACTGATACCACTTAGCCATTTCAATCAAATACTGATACCACTCAGTCATTTAGATTATGTACTGATTCCACTTAGCCATTTAGATTATGTACTGATTCCACTTAGCCATTTAAATCATGTACCACTTAGCCATTTAAATCATGTACTGATACCACTCAGCCATTTAAATTATATACTGATACCACTCGGCCATTTAAATTATGTACTGATTCCACTCAGCCATTTAGATTATGTACTGAATCCACTTAGCCATTTAAATCATGTACCACTTAGCCATTTAAATCAAATACTGATACCACTCAGCCATTTAAATTATGAACTGATACCACTTTGCCATTTAAATCAAATACTGATACCACTCAGCCATTTAAATCATGTACTGATACCTCTCAGCCATTTAAATTATGCATTTATACCACTCAGCCATTTAGATTATGTACTGATTCCACTTAGCCATTTAAATCATGTACCACTCAGCCATTTAAATCAAATACTGATACCACTCGGCCATTTAAATTATGTACTGATACCACTCAGCCATTTAAATCATGTACTGATACCACTCAGCCATTTAGATTATGTACTGATTCCACTTAGCCATTTAAATCATGTAATGATACCACTCAGCCATTTAAATCATGTAATGATACCACTCAGCCATTTAAATCATGTAATGATACCACTCAGCCATTTAAATCATGTACTGATACCACTTAGCCATTTCAATCAAATACTGATACCACTCAGCCATTTAAATCATGTAATGATACCACTCAGCCATTTAAATCATGTACTGATACCACTTAGCCATTTCAATCAAATACTGATACCACTCAGCCATTTAAATCATGTACTGATACCACTCAGCCATTTAGATTATGTACTGATTCCACTTAGCCATTTCAATCAAATACTGATACCACTCAGTCATTTAAATCATGTAAAGATACCACTCAGCCATTTAAATCATGTACTGATACCACTTAGCCATTTCAATCAAATACTGATACCACTCAGCCATTTAAATCATGTACTGATACCACTCAGCCATTTAGATTATGTACTGATTCCACTTAGCCATTTAAATCATGTAATGATACCACTCAGCCATTTAAATCATGTACTGATACCACTTAGCCATTTCAATCAAATACTGATACCACTCAGCCATTTAAATCATGTAATGATACCACTCAGCCATTTAGATTATGTACTGATTCCACTTAGCCATTTAAATCATGTAATGATACCACTCAGCCATTCAAATCATGTACTGATACCACTCAGCCATTTAAATCATGTAATGATACCACTCAGCCATTTAAATCATGTACTGATACCACTTAGCCATTTCAATCAAATACTGATACCACTCAGCCATTTAAATTATGTACTGATACCACTTAACCATTTCAATCAAATACTGATACCACTTAGCCATTTAAATTATGTACTGATACCACTTAACCATTTCAATCAAATACTGATACCACTTAGCCATTTAAATTATGTACTGATACCACTTAACCATTTCAATCAAATACTGATACCACTCAGTCATTTAAATCATGTAATGATACCACTCAGCCATTTAAATCATGTACTGATACCACTAAGCCATTTCAATCAAATACTG